TAAGCTCAAGGGATCCTGGCATAATCATGGCTCACTGCAACCTTTGCCTCCCAAGCTCAAGGGATCCTCAGCCCCCACCCTGAGTAGCTGGGACTATAGGCACAAACCACCATGCCCGGCTAATTTTTGCATTTTTTTTTTTTAAGAGAGATGGGGTTTTGACATGTTACGCAGACTGGTCTTGAACTCCTGGGCATGAGTGATCTGCCTGCCTCAGCCTCCCACAGTGCTGGGATTACAGGCATAAGCCACTGTGCCTGGACTAATGGATTTATTTCTAAAATAGCTAGATTTCTCTGATATTTTCAAGGTTCAGTGATGTTGAATGTCTACTTATATGTAAATGATAGGTGAAATGCCACACAGTGTAGTGAGACAATGGAATACGAGTTCTGGAGTCAGGTGGCCCTGGGTCCAGGTGGTTCTGGTGCTCAGGAGGTATGGCTGTCTTTGGCATACGCAATGTAACTGAAATCAGCAAGGACAAGACATTTCCAAAAGGAAGTACACCAAAGTTGAGGAAAAGTCACACTGGGTCAGAATCTGAGATTCTGAGAACCATGGACACTTCAGGGATGACCGAGGAGGTGGAGAAGCTTGAAAATGAGATGCAGGGGTAATCAAAAACAGAAAGGAAAACCTCAGGAATGTAGTCACCGGAGCCATCACTAGAAAGTGCTAGCAGAAGGAAGAAACAGTCTGCTTTGTCACATGTTGTTACATGGTAATACGAAATAAACAACTGGGGAGTATGCCCTGGACATGAGTTGACAGGTCATTAGTGTATTAGTTTGAACTCAAGACAAACAAATAAATATAACTCTTTTCAGATTTTTTTTTTTTTTGAGATGGAATCCCACTCTGTCACCCAGGCTGGAGTGCAGTGGTGCAATCTCGGCTCACTGCAATCTCTGCCTCCCAGAGATTCACTCACCTCAGCCTCCAGAAGAGCTGGAATTATAGGCATGTACCACCATGCCCAACTAATTTTTGTATTTTTAGTAGAGCTGAGGTTTTGCCATGTTGACCAGGCTGGTCTCGAACTCCTGACCTCAAGTGAGGATGCCCCACCCCCAAGTGGCGCTGCAGAACCAGAGCACCGAGCAGAGTCAGCAGCTGCATGAGGGCTGATGAGGTCTCCCAAAGTGCCCACTTTAACCTCCCAAGGTGCTGGGATTACAGGCGTGAGCCACCGTGTCTGGCTGTTTTTTGAGAATTTCATTCATGGAGGGAAGAGAAGAAAGGAGGAGGTGGCTGGGGATGAAGGAAAGGGAAAGTTGGCATGTGCTTTCTTTCTTAAGTGGCTAAGAAAAGCTTGAGTATGTCTAAATGCTTAATGGGAATGAGCTGGCAGAGAGAGCCTGATGACACAGGAGGAAGAATGCCCAATAGATACAGTAGGGCTTCTGAAACTGCAGGGGGAGATGAGAGCCACAGCACAGTGGAGAGACTGGATTTAGGAAGGAGAAAAGGAAAAAGCAAAGCAAAGCAGCCCTGATCCAAGGACCTGGAGGGAGTTTCAGTCTGATGATTTTATTTCCTGAGCAGCAGCAGGCAGTTCATTTGCCAACAGTGAAGGAGCTTCAAGGAGGGTGGAAAAGTTAGAAATTCAGGAAAGTGGACATTTTAAATGGTCACTAAGGAGAACCCAGAGAGGAATATGAGACCTCCCCCACCTCCCAACTCCAGTGTCCTCCTTGAGTTCATACGCTAAACTCCAGACCATGTCCATGATAAATGGTTAAGACCACTCTGAATGGCCAGGTTTAAAAACTGAGGTTCCTAATGAGAATACATGGATGCAGGGAGGGGAACAACACACAGGGGAGGGTGGAGGCAGGGAGCACATCGGGGAAAATAGCTGATGCATGCGGCACTTAATACCTGCCTAGGTGATGGGTTGACAGGTGCAGCAAACCACCATGGCACACATTTAGCTATGTAACAAATCTGCACATTCTGCACGTGTACCCCAGAACTTAAAAAACAAAATAAAATGAAGTTTTCTATTGTGCTTTCCCAAGTATCCCACAAACCTCACTGTACAAGGGAGAGGGCCCTGAATTTGAAAATGCAATTGCTTGATAGACATTTCCATCCGTAAATTCCAAGAAATTAATTTTAGGCTCATATATTAAAACATGACACTGAAAAATACAATATGTACTCAAATTGGGAATCAAAATTAAGACCAAATATTGCTGTGAAATAAAGGCCTAAGTCATTTCATGTTTCTATTTAGAATTAAATTTATAGTATTAAATGTTCCTTTTCAATTTGTTTTGGGTCAAGAGGTTATTAACACCATAAAAAGAGTTAATAGAGAAGTATGGTCCAGGACAAAGATGTGTCATTATTTTTGCATAAATGCCTGTTATTGGGGAAATTATCAGTTCTTAAAAACAACCATTCCTAGTTCATTGAGGGGCAGACAGTCGATTACATCAAAACCCATCTCCTATTGTATTTTATTTTCCAATTAGTAGTATAATATAAACCGTATTTCTGTATCCACAACTGCTTCATAAAAGGTGTAAGTTATAATATAAACTCTATTTCTGTATCTACACTTGCTTAAGATATGAAGGACATATATAGGTTTGTGTACAACTAAATCACTTAAAGTTTATTGCCAGATTTGTTTTAAATACTATGCTTACTTTTTCTTTTTAACTCAAGCCTTAAATCTTAGTGAAATCCATGACTAAAAGCAGATAAGCAAAATTAATATATAGGAACAGAGACATCTATTTAAAATATGCCTTTTAAGAATGACTGCAATTGGCTAAAACACACACATGAACAATCATAAAAAGGAACATAAAATACAAAAAGATATTTGTGAACTGTCAAGAATTTAAACCTGGCAAGAATTATAAACATGGATGAATATTAAGGGGAACTTGGGGGCAGTGGGGGGAAGGCAATGGAAATGGGAATGCACAGGAATGTAGTTAATATTCCAAGCTAAAAACTCTATTTTCCAGCTTACTTGCAGCCAAGAATGGCCACGTCACTCAGCTCAGGCCAGCAGGCAAAGGTGTAACAAGCAAAGGTGCTGGGTAAGACTTGACAAGACAAGCCTTTCTTTCCTGTGGTCTAGAAGATGAGCCTAAGGGGCTGGAGCTTCAGAAGCCATCTCCAACAGTGAAGTTCCCCTAACATTGACAGCAGAAGCCACATGCTTTGGAACTGGAATATAAACAGAGCCCAGGTCTCCAAGAACTTTGTGGAGCTGCTGCACACCCCTGAGTACCTACCTCTGGACTTTATATAAGAGAGTAAATACTGAGGGTTTAAACCACTGACTGAACCTTTGCTACTTCATAACCAAAGGCAATTCATAATTGATGATCAATGGAATTAGGCTGCACAAATAGACAGATAAAGGCTTTACAGATATAAATGGACAGAAAGAGTCACAGGAAAAAGTCCAATAAGCAGGTTAAATAAGAGATATAATTCTAACTTTTATTTAAACTTTAAGAGAGCGTGGGGTAGCATGCTATGAAGAGCAGTGGGGAAAGTTACACACTGCAGTGTTACCAGGGGTTATTTCAAGGGAGTGAGAGTACAAGGAATATCTACTTCTTTTATGAGTAGTGGGGATTTTTGTTTTATTTATTTTTTTATTTAGACGGAGTCTCGCTCTTGTTACCCAGGCTGGAGTGCAATGGCGCGATCTCGGCTCACCGCAACCCCCGCCTCCTGGGTTCAGGCAATTCTCCTGCCTTAGCCTCCTGAGTAGCTGGGATTACAGGCACACGCCACCATGCCCAGCTAATTTTTTATATTTTTAGTAGAGATGGGGTTTCACCATGTTGACCAAGATGCTCTGATTTTTGTTTTAAACAGTGAGTAGGTATATCCTTCATAATTAGTATAAAATATGCCTTTTATTTGATATACACACATATAAAGACACAATATATTATTCTGCTTTAACTTGTGATTTCATTAAAAATTTTTGATTAAACTATTTATTATAATGACTTTTTTGAAAGAAATAATTGTACTTTTCTAGCTACCAATAACCTCATCTTTAGTATACAAAATATACTTAAGACAGAGGTAAAATCTATTTGATTCTTTAACATTTACTTAAAAAACAAAAGCCTGTTTCTGGAAAGGGAAATTTCTTATTGTATTCTGACGTGAGAGTGAATCACTAAGCTCATAACAGTCATCGGAGCTGTGTAAGAATGCTTGAAATAGGCCGGGCGCGGTGGCTCACGCCTGTAATCCCAGCACTTTGGGAGGCCAAGGCGGGTGGATCATGAGGTCAAGAGATTGAGACCATCCTGGTCAACATGGTGAAACCCCGTCTCTACTAAAAATACAAAAAAATTAGCTGGGCATGGTGGTGCGTGCCTGTAATCCCAGCTACTCGGGAGGCTGAGGCAGGAGAATTGCCTGAACCCAGGAGGCGGAGGTTGTGGTGAGCCGAGATTGCGCCACTGCATTCCAGCCTGGGTAACAAGAGTGAAACTCTGTCTCAAAAAACAAAAAAAAAAAGAATGCTTGAAATAAAAATAAACTTAGTCAACTTAATAATCCCACATCTTCAAAGACTGCAAAAATTGACATAAAAAAGGGAGGTTTCTTCCAACATATTCAAATAAACTTTGCATAAAAGACTTGCCTGGAGTGAAGTATGTTTTGAATAAAAAAACAGTACAGAATAGTAGTAACTTTTCCTTTCTAAAGGAAAAGCATATTGGTAAAATAAAATTGTTTTCGAAGTTATGAATCTATTGCATGGAAGTTAACTATTCACCTAAGCACTCAAAAGAATCTGAAAAGTTCATGCAGGTAGGCAACTGCCTAGATTTATGAGGGGCACAAGGATGTCATCTCAGCCATGCTTTCTCCTAAATTCACCCTTTGATCTACTAACTTGTCACCTAGAACAGGGACCTCTAAAACATTCTATTGCTTATCTCATCATCTGATTCACCAGGGAAGAACTGTGACTCTCTTAGGTAAGAGCATGCGCCTACCTTCCCACCGGCCTGTCAGCACCAAGCTTCTGTTAATTACCACATCGATTTCTGCAGCTCCATCTTCCACAGCCAATCTGATCTCTTCCAATCGTGTCTTCAAATGGGTCTGTCCAGCTGGAAAGCCAGTGGCCACTAATAGAGATAAGAAAGAAAAGGAAGAAAGAGGGAAGGAGGGAAGAAGGAAAGCAAGAAAGTCGGGGAGAAGAAAACAAATTTCAACTGGTCAGTAGTTCATCAAAGAATTCCAAACCCCAAAACATCAGCATGTAAAGACCAATGCATTAATGACACTTAAGAACATCACTTATGTCATGCATGAGCATGAAGAAATAGAATGTTCTCTCATACTGTGTTAGTGTTAGGACAAATACTATCGTTTTCTGGAAGACCTGAAATTAAGATGCTGCAGAGATGCTCATGAGCGTGCATTAAGTAACCAGCACCTAAGAAATCACTATCTTCACAGGGATAGTCTTAAAACAGTAGCTGTAGCCCTGTCTTAGTGAACACTACTTTTCCAGCACACTAGTTCTGGATCCAAATGTTGATCAGGTTAGCTATCTTGATTAACTCATTTACTCTTGATTTATCTTTTTTTTTTTTTTTTTTGAGATGAGGTTTCGCTGTTGTTACCCAAGCTGCAGTGCTATGGTGCGGTCTCGGCTCACCGCAACCTCTGCCTCCTGGGTTCAGGCAATTCTCCTGCCTCAGCCTCCTGAGTAGCTGGGATTACAGGCACGCACCACCATGCCCAGCTATTTCTTGTATTTTTAGTAGAGACGGGGTTTCACCATGTTGACCAGGATGGTCTCGATCTCTTGACCTTGTGATCCACCCTCCTCCGCCTCCCAAAGTGCTGGGATTACAGGCTTGAGCCACCGCGCCCGGCTGATTTATCTTGATTAACTCACTCATGAACCTCTTCAGCTGTGGTAAACAAACTGCCATGTGTTCTCCCACTGCCTATCTTAAAAACAACCAGCCTGGCAGATGAGAATAAAGAAAAGAGAATGCAGGAGGAAAACACACCTAATTAATTAGTCCACAAAACTGGGGCAAGGGCAGGGCTGGGAAGAGCAGATCCAAGTGTAAATAAGAGGTAAATGAAAACGTAACTACACTCCTGAAAAATAGCAACATCTTTTACATGCACATCATTAACTCTCCATCCCTGTTTCTAGATACAACCTCTTACGTCTCCTTGATATTAAAGTCCTTGGGGCCAGGCGCAGTGGCTCTTGCCTGTAATCCCAACATTTTGGGAGGTCGAGGTGAGCGGATCACCTGAGGTGAGGAGGTCGAGACCAGCGTGACCAACATGGTGAAACCCTGTCTCTACTAAAAGTACAAAACGTAGCCTGGCATGGTGGTACATACTTGTAGCCCAAGCTACTTGGGAGGCTGAGGCAAGAGAATTGTTTGAACTCAGGACGCAGAGGTTGCAGAGAGCCGAGATCGTATCCCGGCACTCCAGCCTGGGTGACAGAGCGAGAGTCTGTCTCATAAAAAAAATAAATAAAATTCCTTAGGTCTGCCACCTTGGAGGGAAAGCATGTTTCTCTGTTGTTGAAAGCAAAAACTGAACTGACCAGACTAATGAAAAATTAAGGTCTATACAGGTGTAGCTGCCAAATACTTTGGGAATCCTCATAAATCAATTCTATAGAAATACTGTGCACCATTTTCTTTTAATGTGTTCCTAATAAACTAGTGATCTTTATAAACTCCTGTTAAATTTTTATTTTATTTTATTTTTTTGTAGAGGCCTTTGTTGCCCAGTCTGGTCTCAGACTTCGGGCTTTACTCAGTTTTTTTGCCTGAGCCTCCCAAAGTGCTGGGATTACAGATGTGAGCCACCACGCCTGGCCCAGAGTCCCTTTTTAAAGAATCAAGAAATTCCTCTAACATCTCTTAAAACAAGAATCTAATTTTATATCTGTCTATTCATCCAACCACATACACACAGATACATATTTACCAAACTAAAGCTTTTTTTTTTTTTTTTTGAGACGGAGTTTCACTCTTGTTGCCCAGGCTGGAGTGCAATGGCGCGATCTAGGCTCACCGCAACCTCCGCTCCTGGGTTCAGGCAATTCTCCTGCCTCAGCCTCCCGAGTAGCTGGGATTACAGGCACGCGCCACCATGCCCAGCTAATTTTTTGTATTTTTAGTAGAGACGGGGTTTCACCATGTTGGCCAGGATGGTCTCCATCTCTTGACCTCGTTATCCACCCGCCTCGGCCTCCCAAAGTGCTGGGATTACAGGCGTGAGCCACCGCGCCTGGCCCAAACTAAAGCTTTAAAGACCTTTCTTAGGCCTGGCCCGCATATCCTTATCGTTCTAGCTTACATATATATAAAACAGAACATGCATACGTGTGTGTTAGTATGTGTGTATACATATCAATATATCATGCCTTATGAGTTTTTTTCTTTACCTGACTACTCCTCCTAAATGAGTTTCCTTAAGGATAGGAATGCAGTTCTGCATTCCTGGGAATAAATGTGTCTGCCACTTACTAAGTAATTAATATATACTAATATCACAAATAAATACAACTAATTAAATACATGAAACTAATTTAAATCACAGTACAAAACTATGTATAATACCGCATTGCATGAAGAACTGGAAACATGTTTAAAAAATAACAACAAAAGCCCCAACACGTTTTACCTGATGCCACCGGGATAGCGCAGCCTGCAGCCTGGAGCGCTTTCACAGCATCGCACACCCGGGCGGGATAAACGCAGACGGCGGCCGTAGTGATGCCTGCCAGGAAAACAGGAACGGCCGACCTTCAACGAAGCTCAGCTCACCTAACACGCTTGTAATTGTCATTTACATCGCAACGTTGGCAGAAATCAAATGGGAGAAAAAAGAATTCCCCCACAATGCTGCAATAAATTTAAAGATTTCTACTTTCCACATGCCCTTCTAGTTCTTGACAACACGAATCATTTTCTCATCGTTAGTCACGAAAACAAGTTTGATATACTCTTCTTCGAGATTAACGTGGTACTGCTTTCTAAAAATGTCTAAATAGTAAACTTGGCGGTCAGGACTAAATGAAAACATTTCATGTAGATAACAAAATCCAGACTTATAGAGCATTCACACAGGACAATCTGAAGAAAGGACAGTTTGAAGAAGGAAACATGAAGAAAAACGTACGGGAAATTTAGAGAGTGGTACCATAAAAATGACATTTAATTAACTAATCCTAGTCCCTCTTTTGCAAGGAATAAAAAATCTGAAACGGAAGCCCTCATTTTAAGAAACAACTTCGTCAATTTAAAAAAATTTAGAAATCAATTAGTCGTTATAAAACAAAGCAATATCATAAGACCTTACACCAAATTATCTTTAAGTACTATAAATAAGGCGGTATTTTTACTGCCAACTCGAAAGACACATAATACTTTTCGAAAGACATAGAGTTGTTCAGGTTTGCATGTTCTCTACAAATTATTCAGGATAAAAGACCTGCACTGGGCCAATTCAACTCTCTAGCTGCATTCACAGCAGACAGGCACTCAGAAGCCATGAAGCATACTCCATGGGAAGGAGATCTGGCTCCCAAAACCAGCCCAGCAAGAAACAAGACACAGTCTTGGGAATGCCTCCTGGCCTTCCAGGTCTTGGTCTCCTTATTTAGAAAACAAGGGAATCAATTCTCACATGTGTCCAACATCCCCAAAATGCTAAGATTCTAAACTTTAGCAACCTTAGAAAAGCCCTTCCTTTCATGCGCACGAAAGCAGTGAATATGACTTTCTTTGAAAGATCTAATCTAATATACAAGCAGGCAATATTTCTCATTTGCATTTTATTTTCAAAAGTATTTCATATACTCACAGAAAATACTTTATGTATGAGATGTGATTATTAAGTAATGAGACTGGCTTTTTCACACATGGCTAGGGAATCAGAGTCAGTATTTTAGAGTCTCTAAACAGAAATTTTCCACAACCGAAAATTGAAAAGAAATATAAAGGCACTCTCTATCTACCAAGCACTTTAATCCATGGACTGAAAGAACTGACCTAAAAAACAAACAAACAAAAAAGACTCAGATTCTCTTTCTGCTGTTTTTCAGAGAAGAATTTCAATTATTTGTCTATATATACACAGCAAGAGTTTCTATCATGGATTCTATCACTGTCATCATTAGCAACTGTATCTTAAGTCCTCTTAGATTTAGTAAACAGTATTGTAAGCAGGTAACCACCACAGAGATCACACACAACAATATTACCTTTATCGTGCATATTTAAAGCTTTTAAGAGATCTTCCCGGATTGGGTATTTGGCTTTATAACAGAGCCTTTGAATGTTGGAAGATGTATCATCGCCTGAAAGTGTAGTAAGATCTATAAAGGTAACAGCTTTCAGGAGCCAAGCGGCCTGGTTTGAAGAAAAGTAAAAACAAAGTAAATTTAATAAATAAATCAGCCTCCAACCCAGCTGGTTAGTGGACAATCATTAGACAAGTATAAGTGTTAATATCTTATGTCTACACTGTTCAGTGGAATATTCTGATACATGATATAAACACAGTTCAAGAGCCACTACCAAGACGAACACTACCCAAAATAAAACAAGAGGGAGAAAGAGCCTGAAACATTGTTTTTCTCCCACAAATATCCCCAAGTTAAACCCCCATTAGCCCATGTCTCCCTACTTCTGACTGCTCCATCTCACGCATCATAGCTACCCTGACATAGAAGAGTCTGAAAGGTTTCTATCTTACATTTTACCTCCTGCCCTGGAATCTGGAATGAAATTATTATTTTTAAGTTTGAGTTTTTTTGTGTTTTTGTTTTTCAATGTAATCCAATTCCATTTTTAAAACAACATTCATATGCCACAACTCAGTCTGATGAATTTCCTTCTATCTTTTCAATCAGAATATTTCTAAGGATGAGCAAAATACGAAGTATCACTCTAAAGGATTCAATCACAATATTCTGCCTCACTTGTAAAATGAACTCTGAATTCCTTTTACTCCTACACAGCACGTCTTCGGTTGGGATACACTGAAGAAAATGCTGACCACAAGTCCTCTACGAAACATCATTTTTGGAATTATGAAAAATGATTTATGGAAAGCAGTAGTAAGGTAAACACAATGGTCAAGAAAGGTCAACTCATACCTAAGGGCCCCAACAGAGGACACATCAGGTTTAGATGTTAGGGCTTTAAAATTAAAATAGAAGACAACCAAAGACGGCATGTCTAAAAAACTGAATAAATGTGTTGAGAAAATATGCCATTTAATTCACTCATGAATAAAGATGCCTCAAATTCATTTGCGGCTTTGCCACTCAAGAGTGATAAGATTTTTAACTTGTTTGGATAAATGTGTTATCTTTTTCCAACCCATCATCATCATATATGAATTATTAAAATAAGTCATGGACAGCTGCAATCTTTTAAGTTTAGATGCATCTTGAACGAAATTCAATATTGTGGCCTTGAGGGAAGAGACCATGCATTGTAAAATACAGGCACAGAATGCTCAAGAAGAACCTTTACCTGCCACTCCTTTTTCACAGTTCTGCGAGCCTGGATTTGTTCCGCACGCCTCAGAACTGCCGGGTGATTCACTTGTATTTTGGAGATCCAGCTAAGGTCTAAAACAGACAGGAAAACACTTTTTGAAACTTAGAGGTTCATTAAATATAGTCACCGATTTTTACATGGTCCTTGCAAGGACACATTTACCATTTGACATCAAGATTTTCTTAAAGCTTCTGTTTCTTTTTTGTTCAACTATAAATAAACAACCTTGTTGAAAGAAGCCCAGTCAACAAAAGGCATACTTCATGCAAAATCATTGTCGTTACTTTCAAAGGCAAAAACCACAATTGCTTCCATACCAGCCTACACATTTGAACTAGAAGAACCTGTACTGATTCATCACACAGCCGTGACTAACAATGGGGAGATGTGTGTTACCCACGCCACGTGCCTCACCTCTGACAGCGAGGACTTATTTGTGACTGTCCAGCCCAGGAGAGCAAATGATTAATAAATACTTAAGTGAACTAATGATGGGGCTTGCAGAATCTGTGATCACTACCCCCTTACTAGCAAGATAAATACATACTACCTGCTGACAGGATACAGCCCACTCCTTCTTCAAAGAAGAATTTTTCAAAATGTATTAGAAATAACATCGACTGATATAACAGAAGTCAGAAAAAAAGAAGTAACAAATCATTTAACGTTTCAAGAGATATCTCTGTTGCTTTTGTTCTGAAACGCTCTCTCCTACCTTGACCTGTCCTTCGTTCCCTTCCGGTTAACTGTGATTTCTACTTTCAGACCTAGTCTAAATATTAGCTGTTGTGAAAACACCGTCAGCTCCCCAGACAGAGCTAACATCTGGATAGACCTCTACCACAGAACCTGTAATCAATTCATCGAGGAGTCTGGAAGAAACTATTTGTTGTACTTAGTACATCATCAGCCATGATCTTACTCATCTTTGGGTGTCTAACACCAAACAGCGTTTGGTACACGTACTTCAACTTTACCCACCAATATCCTATAACATAGGGGGCCTCACAGTAAATTGGGCATGAACCCATTAAGCTTCTGTAACTAACTTCACTTCTGTATCCCTCTAGCAAGTCCACGTTTTTAAGAGCCTTAAAAGAGTACTGTAGAAAAAGTTATCCATTAGAAAAAATGCACTAATGATGTAGCTCTTTAAAATGTAACGAGAAAAACTGATCACATACTGTATCATGTAACAGTATAAATTTATGTATTTGCATCTAAACTAATGTTTACAAATGACATTCCTTTTCTCTAATTTTCATTTCATTCTTCTTAAAAGTATCCATATTAACGTCATAGAAATTGCAAGTGGGACTTTGAGTGATTAATAATGATATTCATATTTAAATTTCACTATGGAAGAAACAGAGTTTGGGTGCTTCTTTTTCTCTCTAATTATTTTGTTAGCTGAAATCATTTAACAAACCAGATTTTTAACATTTCAATCCATCTGTTCCTGCTCCTCAAAGATATTGTATGTTTTCTTGCTTGTTTGCTGAGCCAACTTCACAGAGAAAATGGGAATCTGGGGTCAGGCCGAGGAAATCTGCCTCTGCTTTCTCACCCAAGGGCTGCTTTTGTTCTAGCAGAGCTCAAGAAAATCAGACCAGACACACTAGACTTCATCCTAATTTATTTAAGACCTATAAGAAACACCCCCTACTCAAACACAAGGGAGGCTTTTTTTTTTTTGACACAGTCTCTCTCTGTCACCAAGGCTGGAGTGCAGTGGCATAATCTCGGCTCACTGCCACCTCTACCTCTGGGGTTCAAGCGATTTCCTGCCTCAGTCTCTGGAGGAGCTGGAACTACAGGTGTGCACCACCATGGCAGGCAAATTTTTGTATTTTTAGTAGAGACAGTGGTTCGCCATGTTGGCCAAGCTGGTCTCGAACTCCTGATCTCAAGTGGTCTACCTGCCTCGCCCTCCCAAAATTCTGGGATTACAGGCTCTCTTTTCTTCTCTGATGATTGGTAATAGTGATTGGGTTCCTGGCAAAGACTGTTTCAGGCAGATACAGAAAAATGAGTTAAGCAAAGAGTACGTGAACTCCAAGGTCACTGCCAAATAACTATTGACTGTGATCAAAAAAAAGGTAGGCCGTTTAGTGGGGCAAGACTTTGGTATCGGTCATAGGACACCCCTGAAGTCCTTCCCCTTCTCTACTCCCAACTCACCACTACTGCTGGAGGGGGAACTCAGGCAAACACAAGACTCTTCTCAAGCCCCAGCTCCGTCCTTGCCGCTCCTCTGACTCTGTGGTACAGTCTTCCTAAACTACTGGCAGTTCCCTGGCACACTACGCCAGACTGTCTCTAGATCTCGGCATGCTGTATGCTCCTTCTACCAAGAATGCCCTTCCCTGCCTTGCCCAACAGTGAACTGCTGCTTGTCTTTTAAGACTCAGTTCAAACGCCGCCTTCTCTGGGAGCCTTCCCTGAACCTCACAGGTTGGGACATCCCTTTGCTTCTTTATGCTTCCATGCAACTCTGCATTCCACCTTTAGCACATCCCCTTCACTCAGAATGCCACTGATGTGTCCAAATGTTTATGTTCCCAGAAGATTTTTTAAAACTCCAAGCAAAGGGCCTGACACACAGGTGGTATACGATAAGTAAGTCTGGTGGTTCCCAAAGAGCAGGAATGACTGAATTCTGGGCAATGTCTTTCTCCACTGCTTCTGACTAGAAAGGACTTTTGGATCTCTACAAGAAAAGGTAGGACTGAAGTATAAATGGGATTCCTCGGAAATTTCACCTTAAAAAACAATTTTGAGGCCCGGCACGGTGGCTCACATCTGTAATCCCAGCACTATGGGAGGCTGAGACAGGCAGATCACCTGAGGTCAGAAGTTCAAGACCAGCCTGGCCAACATACTGAAACCCCGTCTCTACTAAAAATACAAAAATTAGTTGGACGTGGTGGTGCACACCTGTAATCCCAGCTACTCGGGAGGCTGAGACCGGAGAATTGCTTGAACTCAGGAGGTGGAGGTTGCAGTGAGCCGAGATGGCACCACTGCACTCTAGCCTGGGCGAAAGAGCAAAACTCTGTCTCAAGGAAAAAAAAAAAACACACACAATTTTTAGTACACCAAAGATTAGAAAACTCAAAAGGACCACTTGTCAGAGGTACCTGCAAACCATCTAGGGGAGAATGTAATAGAATTTCTTCTCTCGCAGTATCAGCCTTGACTGCTAAAAATATTAGCAGTCATAAAATTATCCAGCCCCACATTTAACGTAGCCACAAAATTTGCCTCTGTGACCTCCCACGGCAATGAATTATGTAAGTGACTATCTCATTTTATTAGCACTTAATTTGCTACTCTTTAATTTCATCAAATATCCCATGTTCTCATATTATGGGGTCTGGGGAAAAGAAAGGACTGATTGGCCTTTGTTATGTCCTTCATAATTTTTAATATTTTATTCAAGTACCCTTTAGCGTCTCCTTTCCAGGAGAAGTGATTCTAATGCACAGAGTCTCATCAGGACCAAAGAATCTTCTTATGAGGCCAAGAGGGGTTTTAAGCACACATGCCTTTGGGGGAATAGACATGAAACCGTAATTGGAAGGCAATGATACTCTTTTCTTAAAATTCTCCAGTGAAAAAACCCCACTATTTATCTTAGCATGTCATTTTGCTGGTTTCTAGGCCGTTGTGTTGGTTGTAAATTTGTCCTCAAATACTCTTCTCACAATTCATTATTATTATTATTTTCCAGTTCACGTCTTAGCAGAGATAGAGGTCATTTTCCCTGTAACCCTACTTTCTAGCCTTTCCATCGTTTCCATGTGTGTTTCTACAGAAGTTCCTGTATTTTTCATAGTATTCCTAAAATGGAACACCTGCAAAAGGAGGGGCATTTTCTATTTTGATTTTAAATACAGAAAAATAAATCATATTAGAGACCCTCCCCCTCAAAATTTAGGGAAAATAAAAGAGATTAAATTTCTCGTGCTTTCTCTTCTTTCCAGTTTTTTCTGTCTACACGGATCACCAAAATTTGTTCCCGGGTGTTGTCTTTAAAGAGTCATTATCTGATGTGCACTTACGTATTTTAGTGACAGTACATTGCTGAATGTATGTGAATCCTTGCACTTTGCTTTACACAGCAGTGTCACACCATGAATTTACGGTGTTCCTACCTTCCTTTATACCTCCTTAAGAAAGCAGCCATTTCTCAATTATTGTTCCTTTTTAGTAATCGATTGCCTATTTCTACCAATGACATTCCTCAATTCATTAAGTAATGCCAGTAGGTTAATCTTGGCACGTAATCACTTATTCTGGCGTCTAAAATGCTGTTTGTACAGTCCTCGGGCTGGCCGTTTCAGTTCCAGTTGTTCTCAGGCTGCCCATGATCACACAGCTATTGGCCTCAAAGTATCCAAGCAGCAGCTGGATTTTACAGTATCCAGCTGTAGTTACATGGCTAGAAGGCCACAGCTCCTTGATAGAATGAAGTAGATTATACCTGAGTGCCATATGCAAGTCACACAACTTCTCCATTTAGCACTTCGTGAGTACAAGCATTGTGCCGAATGATGTGAAAAATGCAATGGCGCAGAAGACTTGTTCCTATCCTGGAAAACTTTAGGGAGAAAATTAGAGAGAAAGCCACAGGCGTGGGAAGAGGTGAAAAATACAAAATAAAAGCCAACACAAGAGGGCAAAAAAAAAAAAAGTGCTTTCGACCAACATTTCCTGAAATCTTTCTGCTGAAAATAATGAAAACTGACTTTTGTGATTAGAACAAAAAGTGAAAGCTTGGGCTCAGAAAATTGAGAAGAGGTTGGAAAACCAAGCTCAGAAAACAGACAACAACTAAAGACAACAACAGAGAGCCAAGAGCTGGAGGAGCAACACCAGCATTTTACAGCAACAGCCTGGCCAAGATGCCACAGCAGCTGCCACCTGCCACCACAGTCGCCATTTTCCTTAACTCCCTGAGCCCCAAGCTCTGTATGAAAGCACCCCATGACTGCACCTCGGTTATATGCTATGCATGACTATGGGGGATACTCCTTCCTCCGTTGTGCCTCCAACCTAGAGTACACAT